CCCCCCCAGCAGCCTCTTACATAGGAAAACTATGGCCCAGTTCCGTGGTGCCAGCTACTGGGCCAGGCCCACTTGCATGGTAGGGAATCCTGAAGGACTTGTGAGGGGGCACCTCACTTCCCCCCAGGGGCAGATTAACCATTAAGCAGACTAAACATTTGCTTAGGGCACCAGGGCCAAAGGGGGCACCACAAAGTCGAGGAAAGTGTGAAGAGCTTAGTTTGTACAGTATATTGTGTTATCATATGAATACATTTTTGTATTGCTGCAACCTGCATCGTATATCTGGTCAGACAGGTCAACAACTAAAATGGACTGGGTCAGTGTGGAAAGGAGGGGGGGCACCAAGATTGGTCAGTGCTTAGGGCACCGGTGAGCCTTAACCCATCCTACTTTCCCCTGGATCTTCCTCTCCACACTATTTCCTCTGTCCCTCCTCCTGGCAACCACAGGGTCCTCTTTCCTATCCCTGCCGTATTCTCTCTTTCTCAGCCATTCACCAACCTCTACCTTTCATCTGTCTTCTATCTTCAGCTATATTTATTTTGTATTTACTTCGTTTATACTGCACCTTTCTCCAAAGTGGGGACCAAAGCAGCCTACATCATTCTCCTGTCCTCCTTTTTATCCTTACAGCAACCCTGTGAGGTAATTTAGACTGGAGGTATGTGACAAACATAATATCACCTAGTGAATTTCCATGGCAGATTGGTGATTCGAACCTGGGTCTCCCGAACCCTACTCTGAAGCTCTAACCATTACACCACTCTGGCTTTCATAGGATGGCTGCTATTGTACAGTAGCAAGCAGCCCGGCCTAATTGAGTCATGCAGGTTGGGTGGTATTAAGTCACTTGGTGGTTGCTGCTGGGCCTTAGCCCCTATGAGTTCTCATTCAAAGGCCAGAACAGCCCTGGAAAGTGCCCTGCCACCTCCCCCTGTCTTACCGACAGAAACCTAGCCTAGAATGCTGTGGTTGCCTAGCAATGACCACTCAGGGTATTCATTTCTTAAAACAACAAGTACTCTTTTTATCATTTTGTTTTTTTCAATGCCCCAGTGTTGTTGTAGTTGTTGTTGTTGTTTTAAGATTGCACATTTTTCAGGAAACTTGGGGTATTTTTCAGGAAGATCTGTTTTGCCCATTCACAGCTTAATCACCAGTTTTAAGTATCCTCCGATTTAGCCAACTTGGCTATTAGAATATACAAGTGAGGACTCACAAGAAACTTGTGGGGAAAGTGCACCCCATCCCGGCACATTTGCTTCCTTCCCTCTCCTCTTTTCTCAATAATCTTTCACTCTTTCTCCATCTCCCCTTCCCTGACAATCTTATCTCTCTCCCTTTCCCCTTCCTTGACAGTCTTACCCCCCTTGCTTTCTTTCCACCTCTCTGTCAATCTCCCCCATTCCTCCCCTACCCTTCTCTGACAATCTCTTCCCCCCTCCCCTTCTCAGTCAATATTCCCCCATTTCTCTTTCTCCCCCCTTCCCTCCTTCCCTTGATCTCCTCTTCACCTGCAGCATGGGGGGCAGGGCACCCAGGAGCCAGCAGGGCCCCTGGGAGCCGCTGCATCAACTGCACAGGTAAGTGACCTGTGCATGCACAGATAACTTCATTGCTTTGAGGGACGGATGACAACCATCAATACAATTTTTGAACTTTTAAGATTTTTCTGCAAACCCAGGCGGTTTCCCAAGTTTGGAGAAAAATCTCTTTTTAATCCATAGAATTAGATATCCACAAATCTGTTCACACTTGAGAAACAGGTATATAGATGACATACGTTATATACAGCATCTATTTTTCTTACAATTCGCATTTCATCTGTAACGGAAATAGAATCGAGGAGAACAGCCTTGCTGAAAATTGTTCTCTTCTGTTGCCAGCCCAAGCTTCTTTTGAATCCTACGAACAGAGAGGTTCCACACATACACACGAACCCTCCCTAATTCCAGCCCAGTTGAAATTTTCTGTTGGCCTGTAGAAGGTGCAACAAATTTGGGGCCAGATAATTTTGGGACAATATCGTTTGTATATAGATTAAAAAGTAATGTGGCTTGACTTACTCCCTTTCCTGTTGCGGGTTTCTTGGTTAGGGAACCCAAAATGTCCCCTCTGATTTTTGCAGATGTGTTTGATCTGCAAAATAAGAAGCAGTAGTCTTTTGTCAATATTGGTCTTATTTATTTATTTATATATTAAATTTGTTAATTGCCCAATCCCTGCTAATGGATGATGTAGAACATTCATAAAAACATATCAAGATAAAACAAAACATTAATAACAGATTTCAAACAAATCAGATGGCACGTACTAATTGATCCAGTTTCAGACTGCCAGCAGCTTCATGGGCAAGGAGAGGAGGGCAAGGCCTAGGTCAAGCAGCACTGTCAAATAATGAACCTGCTCCTTTGGAGGGAGTGCGGCCCTATCCACAGCAGGAGACATCCCAGTTCCTGGGTCAGGCCTTCCCTCTGCCGGTCACCCCTCCTTTTTTGTTGGGATTGAGTTTCAGCTTGTTAGCCCTCATCCATTCCAAAACTGCCTCCAGGCACCGGTTTGCCATTTCCACAGCCTCTCTGGGATCTGTTGTAAGCGCATGTGTCGTGCGCATGTTGGTGGCAACTCAGTCCAAATCTCTGAATGAAGTTATTATAGAAGTTAAAAATCATAGACGTTAAAAAGCACAGGAGACGTTAGAAACTTGCAGGACCACAGAGGCCAAGGGGTGGAGCAGCAGTCCCCCAGCACCGCCCTCTGAAACCTGTCATAAGAACATAAGAGACACCAATGTTGGATAAGGCCAAAGGCCCATCCAGTCCAACACTCTGTCACACAGTGGCCAGAAATACCAGGTGCCATCAGGAGGTCCACCAGTGGGGCCAGGACATTAGAAGCCCTCCCACTGTTGACCCCCCTCAAGCACCAAGAAGACAGAGCATCAGTTGCCCCAGAGCCCCTGTCTATACCTTGTGGCTAATAGCCACTGATGGACCTCTGCTCCATATGCTTATCTAATTCCCTTTTGAAGCCATCCATGCTTGTAGCTGCCACCACTTCCTGTGGCAGTGAATTCCATGTGTATTCCATGTCTTCGAGGTAGGACTAAAAAAACACACACCACAAAACAGGGCTTCCTGTTCCCAACCCTGAAAGGTGGTCCAGAAGTATACCATGATCAACAGTATTGAAAGATACTGAGAGGTCTGTGAAAAGCGGTACAGTCATACTCTTCCTGTCCATCTCTTGGTGCAGGTCATCCACCAGGGCGACAAAGGCTGTTTCAGGCCCATAACCAGGCCTAACACCAGACTGGAGTGGATACTAACAATCTGCTTCATTCAGGAATCCCTGAAGTTGCCCAGCTACCATTCATTCTGTCACCTTGCTGAAGGACGGTGCATTTGAGACTGGGTGGTAGCTGTTCAACTTTCCTACATGAAATTGCTGAGCGGTCGGGTTAGAACGGATAGAAGGAAGTACTTCTTCACCCAAAGAGTGATTAACACTTGGAATTCACTGCCACAGGAGGTGGTGGCGGCTACAAGCATGGACGGCTTCAAAAGGGAATTAGATAAGCATATGGAGCAGAGGTCCATCAGTGGCTATTAGCCACAAGGGATAGATAGGGGCTCTGGGGCAAGTGATGCTCTGTCTTCTTGGTGCTTGGGGGGGTCAACAGTGGGAGGGCTGCTAATGTCCTGGCCCCACTGGTGGACCTCCTGATGGCACCTGGTATTTCTGGCCACTGTGTGACACAGAGTGTTGGGCTGGATGGGCCATTGGCCTGATCCAACATTGGCGGCTCTTATGTTCTTATGTTCTTAAAGGGGACTATACGAAAGGGAATTATAGAGGAAAATGTGGTTGAGAAGGTAGCTCTTTTGCAGTGATATTAGTAGTAGTTAATTGTTGGCCTGAATACTGTGATTCGATTCCAGTGTTGGCTGAGTGTCTCACTGGCAGAAGTCGTTTCTCCTCTAAAGGAAACCTTCATCTTCAGCAGAATAGAGCCATAAAACGCAAGCCAGTGTGGTTAAATATAGGGATTTTCCCCCACAGGTTTTCATTGATTGTCTGGAACAACTGAGTACCAAGCCCGACAGTGATGTCGATACTACACAGTAAGTAAAATAAAATTTACAGTTAATAGAATCGCTATCTGCACATTACCTCTTAATGGCTAGTGTCTAGTTACACTTCTGATGGCGTGCGTGCAAACACCAGAACATTTTCCCACATATGTACACAGATCTGACTCCACGTGGCTCGTTGAAGGAAGTCATCTGGCCATTCCTTCTTTCTTTTTCAAGTACCAGTCTGAGCATCCCCATCAAGGAATGTCCATCCATCAGTGTCTGCAGCTTGTTTTACTTTATCGTTGCATTCTTTAAATCTGGTTCCAGTTTGCGTGGCTGGTTCTGTTCTTCGTGTTTTGATATTTCTTTGGTTGCTGAACAAAAGACCTTAACATGACCTTCCAACCCCCTTCCTGAAAATGGTTGCTCTGGCGTGGACAGCTTACCCACACTTTCCGCAGTGATCACGGACACAAAGAGTTATTTTAGCTTCTCTGCCACCCCTCCATCTTCCTTTAGAGTCAGTTTGGTGTAGTGTTTAAGTGCACAGACTCTAATCTGGGAGAACCAGGTTTGATTCCCCACTCCTCCACTTGCAGCTGCTGGATGACCTTGGCCAAGCCATAGTTCTGGAAGAGCTGTTCTCTCAAGGACAGTCCTGGAAAGAGCTCTCTCAGCCCTCACCTACCTCACAGGGTGTCTGTTGTGGGGAGGAAAAGGGAAAGGAGGTTGTAAGCCGCTCTGAGACTCCGAGTGAAGAGTGGGGTATAAATCCAAACTTTTCTTCTTCTTATACTTCGGGAAGATCTTTTACTTACTTTCCCAGGCAGCTGTTAACGTTTCCGTGGTTTCCATCCATAGCTTGATGTCTAGCTGAAGCCAAACTGTTTAAAAACTTAATTTCACAGTTGGCTTTTTACGACCTGGTGAGGCAAATTAAATCTCTGAGCTTTACCAGAGCACAAATTATACATTTTTTTTCCAAAACAGGGAATTTTACGCAGGTCATTCCCGATGTCATCATGCCAGTCATGCCCTGTAACCTATCCATATGTCTTTACCACAGTTAAGTCCCGCCCCTCCAGGGAGCTCTGGAAATTATAGATCTGAGAGAGTGGTTAGAAATCCCCAAATGAGTATTCTCAGTCTTCCTCACCAACCTGAAGTTCTCGTATTTCTTGAGGGAAAGTTGTGACAGTCAAACCAAGATAAAACCAGTTTAAATGTGTAATGTAGATTACACCCCGAATATTTAGAGCAACGCTTAACCGATTAACATTATTGTCTAAATCTCAGTCTTTCAGCTGATGTTTCATCACCGGATTTATTTGGAAGTATCCATGAAGACTCCAGCTTGTCATTAGTAAGTTTGGTTAACCTCTTCAAAAGAGTAATGGAATGATATTAAAATAGTAGGTCTGATAGTGTAGAATAAGGTTCGATAGAAAGGCAACCCCAGGGCGTTTGTATATCTCAACGTGAAGGAACATTTTTCTGGATTTGCCGAGCCTTTAATTGGCTTCTCAAAAGAAATGTAATCAGTCATTCTTCGTTTTAAAACGAGACTGGTTTTGACGTATTGCTGCCTGTCCTTGTTAATGGGATCTGAAGGAAACGTGGCATGCGACTAGAAACAGCTGTGTTTTGTTTTTTTGTTGATCTTCAATCATGTTTTCTCTTATTAGCAATGAGTTAGTTTAACAATATATCCTAACAAAAGAAGCTAAGATGACAGGTGTTGATGCAGAAAGCAAGCTTGCTGCATTATGAACGTGCCTTCAGAACTGAACTATACAATTTAGCTCACGATTCCTCATCTGTTCAGTCACTGCTGTCTCATCCTTCTGTCCTGGCTGGTAGAAATGAACGAAACTCTCCATGAGTGGGATGCTGAAGTTGGGAGACTTCCTGTTAAGTCGCTCGCTTAACAAAGTAGTCGGATGAAGAATTATAGGCCAATTTCTCTTTTGAACAATGACTATAAGATTTTTGCAAAAGTTATTGCAGAAAGGGTGAAAAACTACTTACAAACAGTGATCTCAGAAGACCAAGCTGTTTTTTTACCAAAAAGACAGATTCGAGACAATGTAAGAATAGTAATGGACGCAATTGAATACTATGAGAAACACCCTGAACAAGAAGTAGCCTTTTTATTTGTCGATGCCGAAAAGGCATTTGACAATCTCAACTGGAAGTTTATGCTACAGATGATGGAAAAAATAGAAGTGGGACAACACTTTAGAAATTGCATTGAAGCTATCTATTCTGAACAAAGAGCCAAATTGAATGTAAACAAAGAATTGACTGATAGCTTCAAGGTACAAAAAGGTACTAGACAGGGTTGTCCCCTATCACCGTTATTATTTATTTGGGTGCTGGAGATACTTCTACAAAAAATACAGCAAGATCAAGAGATAACGGGATTGACACACAAAGGACTTAAATATAAATATCGAGCATTTGCTGATGATGTAATGTTTATTGTGCAAAACCCGATAGAAAAATTACCGTTACTATTCCAAAAAATAAAGGACTTTGGAGAATTGGCCGGATTTTATGTGAATAAGAACAAAACGAAGCTTATTTGTAAAAATATGACGAAACAAAAACAAATGGAACTGCAAGACCTGGTACAATGTGAAGTAGTAAAAAAGACGAAATATCTTGGTATTGAGTTAACTGCAAGAAATATAGACTTATATAAGAATAACTATGAAAAATTATGGACCAAGTTAACTCAAGACTTTAAGAAATGGGACAAAATGAACTTGTCACTGATGGGAAGAATATCAGTTATAAAAATGAATGTCCTACCACGTTTGATGTTCCTGTTCCAAACAATACCAATACTTAGTAAGACAGACTTGCTACTTAAGTGGCAACAAGAACTATCAAAGTTTGTTTGGGCAGGCAAGAAACCGCGAATCAAGATGAAAATTCTTTGTGATGCCAAAGACAGAGGTGGGCTACAACTACCAAATCTTAGACTATATTATGAAGCAGTCTGTCTAACCTGGATGGAACAGTGGGTGAAATTAGAAAATGATAAGTTACTGGGGTTAGAAGGCCACGATTGTAGATTTGGTTGGCACGCATATTTATGGTATGACAAAACAAAAATGGACAGCTTTTTTAAGCTTCATGTGGTAAGAAAAGCATTATTTGTGGTATGGATGAGGTATAAAAAATACTTTTGTGATGTAAGACCATTGTGGATTGTACCAGTGGAAGTGTTAACATCTTACTCAAGACATAGAGATAAAGATTGGTTGCCATATAAAGATCTAATTAAAAAAGTGGGAACAGAATGGGTAATGAAAAAGCAGAATGAAATTGAATATGAATATGAATGGTTGAAATATATGCAGATTTTTGATCTTTTTAGATCAGATAAAAGGAAATATGGTTTTAGAGAGGAAAAAAATGAGATTGAAATGATTTGGGAGAGTGGAGGGGGAAAAAATATCTCTAAAATGTATAAAGTGTTACTAAAATGGTATACTGAAGATGAGACTGTAAAAGGGCAAATGATAAAAATGGGCGATAAATATGAACACAGAAGTGTCTATTGAAACCTGGGAATATTTGTGGAAAAATTCTATTAAGATATCGCCTTGTACCAATGTTAGAGAGAATTGTTATAAAATGATGTATAGGTGGTACATGACTCCGAAAAAAATTGCAAATATGAACCAGAATATGTCAAATAAGTGTTGGAAATGTAAAAGCCATGAAGGCTCATTTTACCACATGTGGTGGACTTGTGAGAAAGCAGTTGACTTTTGGACAAAAGTCCACAAAGAAATGCAAAAAATTCTGAAATGCTCTTTCAAAAAGGCACCGGAAATTCTGCTTTTAGGATTGAAAATGGAAGAAGTCAATACAACTAAAAAGACTTTATTCTGGTACTTAATCACAACAGCGAGAATGATTTATGCACAATTTTGGAAAACAGAGAAAGTGCCAGAAATTGAAGACTGGATACAAAAAGTTCTGTTCATGGCAGAGATGGACAAAATTACGAAGAAGCTGAATAATAAAGAAGACGACGTGTTTTTTCAAGAATGGAGTGACTTTAAAATATATCTGGAAAAGAACTGGGATGTGAAACAAAACTTAATATGTTTAGATCAATATTAAGTCAAATGATGTTATCTTTAGATTGTAATGATAAGAAATTGATATGGTTGATGATACAAAGTAATTTGGAGCAGGGGTGGAAGCATTGCGGGAAGCCACCGGAGGGAGGGGAGGAACTGGGAATGGGGTAGACAATTGATAGAACGAAATGATTTAATTTTATATGTTGTATTCCTGAGAAAATAAAAATTTGTTTACCAAAAAAAAACCAAAGTAGTCGGAGAGTGATTCAGCAAAGATTCAGCTTTATTCAGCAACTCGAACACAACTCCAACACGGATCGACATCTGATAGCCAGAACAGCTTTTACATTGCAGCTGTCCTGCTTTTAAACTCTCCCGGCTAATGTAGCCACGCCTACTGTACATTTACCAACCAATAAGGTTGTATGCATAAGGACCAATCACGGACGTTCCCGCTCAGGGAGCTTGCTGACAAGTGATTGGTTGGTTCTTCCTGGGCTATCAATGCGATTGGATGGATTTGGATCCTAGCCCAGGACAAAGCTTAACATTGTACTTCAGTTAGATGATTCATGTATTGCAATGGCAGCTATTGAATATATTACACTTCCCATTTGAGACATTTGGGTGTAGGAGGCTGTTGTAAATTTCTCCAGATGGAGGAGACACATCCAATGCGCCCTCTAAGCTGCGGAGTCTTGTGAGCAAAAATTCTACTTTGTGAGCTACTGGCATTGAAGTGGTGAGCGAGCGGTTTGGCTACTGCATAAATTGTTCTAGCTAAGACTAAAATGTGTGAGCCGGAGGCTAAAAAACTGTGAGCTAGCTCACACTAACTCAGCTTAGAGGGAACACACTGGCCACATCAGCAAATGAGGAGAGGGAAAGGGGAAAGGAAGGAAGTGAGAGGGGGGGGAAAGAAAGTTTGAACCAGGGTTCAGTTTGTTGATATGCTTTCCGTTTGTAAAGATAAGATGAGAACATTCTTTGAAAACCCTTCTGATGCCATATTTTCATTCTCCTTAAGAGTGCGTGTCATAGCAGTTCTATATCAGAGATATAGGAACATGGTCTCTTTTAATTTTTTTGGCATTTGTCATAATAAATTAGACCTGTCTTTATTTAAATAATAGTAATTATTTTCTTGCTAACCAAATCGTTTGGACGTGAATTTTATATGTACCACTAATGCATTTTTCCTTCGGTTAAAATCTTCCTTTGTTTAGGAACGGAGGCTTTTAATTGTGCTTAGTAACTGCTGCTATCTGGAACGTCACACCTTCCTAAACTTAGCTGAGCACTTTGAAAAACATGGTTTCCAAGGAGTTGAGAAGATCACTCAAGTAAGGCTTTGTTCCAAATTGAGTTGGCTTTTCAGTAGCTTTACAAGGGCCCTGCCACCTCCCCCTGTCAGGGTTTTATGCCATCTTTTAGCTGTATTGGAGGTGTTTTATGGATTTTATTGTATTTATTGTAATCCTAGTGTATTTATTAATGTTTTAGAAAGCTGTATGTTTTATAAATTGATGCTACCCGCTCTGAGGTGGTTCCGGGAGAGCAGGTTATAAATCCAATGAAATAATTAAATTAAATAAATATGTCTGTTCATAATATGAAATCTTTATAATTTTGCCAGCATAAACACCTGTGCTTCACTCCTGCCCCCCCCCCACACTACCTCCTCTTCTCCCTCCTTGTATCACCACCACCTTCTCCCTCAAAAGAGTGATGCTTAATAAGTCCTTGCAGGTTCCGCCCCTCACCCCATTTTACTCTAATAACGTCTACAGGAAACGGCTCTTATTCAAATTAGTTAGGGTATGGCTTTGTTTTGTGTTCTTCTCGTAGAGTGAAAATGTCAAAAGTGGGTGGAAGTATGTATGTCATTGTCCTGACTTTTTGTAAACAGACCTTTTATTAATTTTTTTCCCCCGTCGGAAATATTCTGACTTCTTGGGACTAGGTATTTAGCTTCTTTCCAGGAATATGTGCACATTTCCGTATGAGACTATTACCATTTTCCGTATTCCAGTAGTGATGGTATCTGAGCTGCTGCTTTTGTGGTGATGATAGTTGGGTCCTTTCTCTTTATCACTCACAGAATTCTCTGCGCTCCGAGGCGGAGTCGCTGTTGCCCCCTCAGCAAGCGACCAAGAGATTTAAAAAAAACATATGTCATCCTAATCCACTTTTCAGTAACACTGTGCTATGATTAACGGTTCACACAGATAAATTGTTTTCATGTTTTAGATAATACTTGTGGATGTGTCATTTTAGGTCAGCATGGACTCCTTAAAGGAGCTTGACCAACGACTGTTTGAAATGTACATTGAACTGAAAGCTGACCCTATCGTCGGCTCGTTGGAACCCGGCATTTATGCCGGTTATTTTGACTGGAAAGACTGCCTTACTCCGACAGGTAGGTATCTTTTTACGCCTCTGAAACTATTTTAATGAACATTTAATTAAAAAAAAAATTACATCTGTAGCTTTAAATTCTTATTTCTTTTATGTTGCAAGCTTCTTCCTTCATTGGTTCTATTGTATAATTCCTAATTATTATTATTTTTGCAATGCCCCGAATAATTATAGCATTCTGTATCACTGGTAATCTTTCTTAATAGTTGTTTTCCTTATTACGCATTTCTGTTTCCCATACGTCTGCCTTACGACAAATAATAATTCATCTTCAGTCTTCTCTGCAGTCCAATGTCCACCTGTAACTGTTGTTCATTGAGGTGTCTTCTGTGCGGGGACACATTCCCTCCCTCCTACCCTGCTGTGAGTTCATAGGAGGCCATTACATTCTTGACACTTGCAGTGGCTCAGGAGAACTGAAGGAAAGGGGGAGCTCCTCCCTGAGGAGCACATGACCGCTTGGTGGGGGAAAGGCCTCTAATCAGCTCTGCAGGGGAGGGACTTCACCTGGAGTAGGGTTGCCAAGTCGTACCTCGTCCTGAAGCGGGGGACTCCCGGGTTGATCCTGGAGTGTGCGCGCACCGCATCCACGTCACCAGGAAGTGATGCAACCACGCCGGGCATGCTGGGGGCGGGGCCACGACCATCCGAGGGAAAACCATAGAGTTTTCCCTTGGATGACTGTGGCCCCGCCCCCAGCATGCCCGGCGTGGTCGCGTCACTTCCTGGTGACGTGCATGTCGGGGTAAAGTTGTCCCCGGGGCCCGATCTGGCGGCGGCGGGGAACGGGCCTCTGGGGCGGGGTTTTCCCCGCCTCCCGGGGGAACTTGGCAAGCCTAACCTGGAGTGTTAGAAAATGCCAGAATAGCTGTAAAGGAGCCTCCGGTGGCTGGTCTGCGCAAGTGCAGTCCCTGTGTGCCTGCATAGAAGACACCTCGATGAACAACAGTTACAGGTAAGTGCAGCACTGCTTAATCTCATACATTATTGAACGGCAACGAAAGACAGCTTTGCTACTTTATCTACTATGGTCACTTGTGTATGATACCAAAAGGCCATTGTGTAGAAAACTGTGTGGGAGGAGCCCTACAACAATAGCTCATCCGGCCTCCCCAAATCAGCCCAAAAGACTGGTGTAAATGCATTGATGTTTAAAATATATATCAAATCTTTTAAAAGGTAATTTTTAAAAGGCTGTTCAGCAAAGCCTATCATTAATCAGAACATTACCAATGCCTTGCAAGAAAGAGTTGGCTATTAATACAAAAGATAACACTGGCGGCTTTAAGGTTAAAGTTCATATAACGTGGTTCACTAACATAATCACCACCTAATCTGCGCAAAAAGGTGTCTGAACACTTTCACGCTGCTGCCACTTTGTGGCAGCACAGAGTAGGGCGACCGGCAAGAGAAACGGTGGGCTTTTCTGCACACACGGCATACTCCTGATTTCCTTGGCATTCGATCCACAAGCCTCAGAAGTGGTTTGGGCGTGGTTCTTCTGGATGTCTGTCCTCCCTCTGCACTTCCGGAGTTGTGGGGTCAGTTTCTTTTCTTCTATGTGGTCTTTAATCAATCAGGATTTCGAAGGGAGGGTGTTGTAGTCATTGTAGCTGAGAGCCAGTTTGGTGTAGTAGTTTGGAGTTTGGTGTTGTAGTTCAGAGCCAGTTTGGTGTAGTGGTTAAGAGTGCAGACTCTAATCTGGGAGAACTGAGTTTAATTCCCCACTCCTCCACATGCAGCTGCTGGTGTAACTTTGGGTCAGTCACGAGTTCTCTCAGAGCTGGTGTCTCACAAGCAAAAGAGCTCTCTCAGCCCCACCTACTTCACAGGACGTCTTTTGTGAGGAGGGGAAGGGAAAGGAGACTGTATGTCGCTCTGAGTCTCCAAGTGAAGGGTGGGGTATAAATCCAATCTCTTCTCTTCTTCTTCTTCTTCATCAGTGGTGTCATAGCAAAAAAAACAAACCCTTATTTTTTCTACATACTACATCAATAGTATGATGTGGCCCTAGCCATTGATATACTAATATAGCATTGTAATCATAGGTTAAGCAGATTCTCTGAATTCCCAGGTTTCATTGTTTAAAAAAGGAACACTTTAGCCTCTTCCCTCACAGAGATATAAGTAAAAAGGCATATCTCCACAAGGGTAGGGAATAGAAATTTAGTTGTTTTTTTAAAGATGGGAATTCAGAGAACCTGTTTGACTTATCATCACAGGAGTATATTGATATTTCAATACCTTTAAAAAATTTTAAATGAAACCACTCATCTTCAGGAAGCAGCGGGGAGGGGGGTAGGGACTGGTTTAACAATAGCGACAGGCCAGTCATCAGAAAGTGGGCTGGAGATGCGTGGTAGGCTTGCCAAGTCCCCCCGGGGGTGGGGAAAAACCCCACCCCAGAGGCCCATTCCCCGCCGCCAGCGGATCGGGTCCCGGGGGCAGGCCCGTAGCTAACATGGGGCCCATGGGGCCCGGCCCCCTTGTGTTTCTTCTGGGCCCCCTCCCTCCAGGGCTGCCCCCAAAGTGCTCCAACTTACCACCTGCACTGTACTTCCATTTAATTAGCTGGCGGGCCCCCCCAAGGCCCCCTCCCAAAGAATTCCCTAGCTACGGGGCTGCCCGGGGGAACCCCACCCCCAAAGCATGTGACGTGCACGTCACCCGGACGTCACGCAACCACGGCGGGTACGCTGGGGGCGGGGCCACAATCATCCGAGGGAAAGCTCTATGGTTTTCCCTCGGATGGTCGTGGCCCCGCCCCTAGCATGCCTGCCGTGGTTGTGTCACTTCTGGGTGACGGGGTTGCTTTGTGCGCGCGCTTCGCGCCTGCGCGCAAACTCCCAAGGCAGCGCTGGAGTCCCCCGCTCCAGCGCCGCTTCTGACTGGCAACCCTAGTGCGTGGGAACGGGCAGGACAAAGAATACCAACAGAGACAGTGCACACAAGGAAAAAGGCAACAAACTCACAAAAATGTGTGCAGAAATCAGAGGATCAAGTATGGGGCCAGAACCGTCTTTTTTAAAAAACGAAGAAAAGCCCTTTGTGTCATGCAAGAATCCAACCCCAACAGCACCTCTTCAAGTCAAGTCAAGTCAAGTCAGCCTTTATTGGCATAAAATATCAGTACCATTTATACATTTTAAAACCAGTTGAAAGCACACATATAAAAATCTAAAAGAACCTTAGACGCAGCTTTAAAGCCAAGGAGAGAAACTTAGACACCTTCTCTGTAATGTCCGAGCTGAGATCACTTAAAAGTCTATGCACCTTAAGTGCATCAGAACAAGCACCCATACTGGTTAAAAGAGAATATAAATGTGTGATCCTTAGGTCCGTGTACAGATTACAGTGCAGGAGAACATGAGTGACAGATTCCACGCATTTCTTCCTACATGGGCAGTATCTGGCCAAATGAGAGACCTTGTTGAATCTGCCGAGTAAGATGGCGGATGGCATGGCATTACATCTGGCCAGGGTGAATGCTCTACGTTGTTGAGGGACCTGCAGAGAGGATAGATACGCAGCCATCGTCCCTGTTGTAAGGGGAATCTCAAAATTCAGAGGAGAACAGGTCTTATTAAACAGCGTGCCCGGCGTGGTCGCGTCACTTCCTGGTGACTTGCACGTCGGGGTGGAGTTCCCCCCCGGAGACCGATCTGGCGGTGGCGGCAGGGAACGGGCCTCTGGGGCGGGGGTTTCCCCGCCCCCCGGGGGACTTGGCAAGCCTACCTGGACTTCATGGGGAGATGGTAGAATAAAAATGTAACAGGTAGATTAATGGTTCCTCTTATCAAAATGAAATGATGTGGGTCTATAAATGTATGGTTATGTTCATCAGTACTTTACCTTGGAGATAATATTATCTGGAAAATAGGGCTTGGGTGATTTCCCCTTGTCATGATCCTGGGCCTGTAGTAGTATGGCCTGTAGGCTCTAGGAAGGCATAGATTAAAGTATCTATCAGGGTCTACATTTCCCAGGCCACCTGTGGACTCTGTGATTGGTTAACAGGAAATTTGGAGGGAAACCTCACACCAGTAGAGGATAGGGCTGCCAAATCCCCCCGGTTTCCCCCCCCCAACGATCTGGGCCACGCCCCCAACGTGCCCTACGTCCTGCGTCACTTCCAGTGATGTTCTGGCGGCGCGGTGTGCTTTGCGCACACATCCGCAGCCAGCTCCCAGACTGAGCAAACGCTCCCCCGCTGGTGAGTGAATAAGATTTGGCAACCCTAGTAGAGGAGTAAGGGATGGTGCCTGGGAAGAAGAGATAAAAGGCCTTGCCCAGAACTGGGAGGGTGTTCACTCCTAGGGAGCAGCGCTGAGGAGAGGCTGCTGCGGACGGAGTGGTCCCTCCTCCAAAAGGGGTGAGTCAGCTTGAAGCCAACCACCCATAAACAGCTAGGAACAGTCCAAATAGGCACATCAGGGTTTTTATTTGTTTGCCTACCTACCTTTGCTATTCTTATTATTCTACATATTATTTGAAGACCAGTTGTTACTAGACCTCTTAAATAAAATTGTTTATTATTCTGCCTTGGTCCTCACGCCTCATTCGGTCACATAAAAAGTACAACCTATTGGGAACAGAGTGGACGTAAGAGATTGGTTGGGTGCTCTGGGCCCTCCTGAGGAGACCCGTATCAGAGCGGTGGCAGCCTATAGAGAACCTCCCTGGGACCCTGCTCACGACACCCCTCCGTTGGTGGACTTGGACCCAGGAGACAGTACTTCAGATGCCGTATCATAGACTTCACCAATACGGCCTTGACGAAAAACATTTTGTCATCTCACTTTTTTCTCCTGTCAAATGGAATACTGACAACCAGACCGGCAGGATCGTTGTAAGCCAATGATAGAGCATAGTTTTTTAAAAATATGATATGGTTTTAACAAAACCATAGCATGCCACGGTGAGGAGCCAACAACTGTAAATACTTCAAACACCGGTTGATCAAACAACACCTCTTTGGGGGTTTTTTGGTTTTGTTTTTTG